TTGAGGATCATTTTGATTGATGAATTTTTTCACACAACCCAAGACAAAACAGATGCCCCATCGACTTTCTATGGTCATAACATAACCTACTACACTTCCGCTACACCACTCTAATATCAAACCATAAAAATAACAAGGAAATCAATCTCAAAATACATGGCTAACAATTATAAAGGTACAATAGTCAGATTCACTTTACAGAGACTGGGTACTCATCACTGCCCTAACAAGCCAACAACAATTCTCAATCTCCACCCTCCCCAATGGCCATTTGGGAAGCAGGAGATAACTTCACATCTCAACACAAGTAACTACACTTGAGGGTTATTGGCGTGATTATGTGGTGCCCCTGACTCAAATCAAGACCCAACACTCATCAAACACAACAAAATGGCAAGGAATCTAACGATGAGTACAACTAAAAGATGGAACCCTATCTAAGATAGATAAGCATCACTCGGATATATAGGATCATGAATGGATGAATGCATGTATGAATGAATGCCTCTATGCATGCATGTATGAATGCCCATGTGTGCATGCATGTATGTGTGTATATGCTCATGTATATCTATGTTTGCATTCATGTATGAATGCCCATGTGTGCATGCATGTATGCGTGTATATGCTCATGTATATCTATGTTTGCATTCATGTATGAATGCCTAGATGAACACTTAAACAAACAGACCTAATGTGGAAGGCCTTATACATCCTGCCACAACCAAAACCAAGCATACTATCACAAGCGACCAAGTTTCAAACAAGGTCCTAAGAGCATAGTGAGCAAGATTAATTTCAAAAATTTTCACCAATGACAGATAACAGGAACTAACTGAATTACTATCTCATCAAAGTGAATAGGAAAATTCAGGCAACATAAATCAAAATCGTCCTTTATATAATCCCATCACTCATCTCACCACGGTTCTAAAATCCACTGGCCAGCCAAGTTCTAAACAAATCCTAGGTATTCAATTAAACCTAGGTATTTAATTAAACCTAAGCTCTGGTACCACTTAATCTGGAGGTGTTGAATTTAATCCTAAGCTCTGATACCACTAAATCTGGAGGTACTTAATTTAATCCTAAACTCTTAATTTCAACCTAAACTCTGATACCACTAAATCTGTCACGCCTCAGAACCCAAATCCGAGGACGTGGCAGACGCCGTACACTTGCGAGAGGATCCCACAAATGTACAAGGCTCGGAACTTATCATACCACAATCTGATACCACAAAATCTAAAGATAAATTTTTAAAATTTGCCCTAATATCATAAAATCTCCAAATAAAATCTAGCTTACAAGATCATGATTTATATCTAAAATCTATGTTCAATTTACAAGATGGCTAGCCTTCTAACTCGTCATTCCCCTCGTTTTTCCTCGTCCTTGACTTCGCTTCCTGAAATGGTGGACAAGGAAAAACTATGAGATAACTCAGTAAATAAATATGAATAGCCCTTAGGTAACAATTTTAGCATGCCTGATAAACAGTTTAATATAACAAAACGTTCAATGATAAACCGTTAATGCAGAATCAAATTCAGTTCAATAGCAAAGCGTTTAATGACAAACCGTTCATGCAGAATCAGATTCAGTTCAATAGCAAAGCGTTCAATAACAAACCGTTAATGCAGAAGAAAATTCAGTAGTAGTCTCTTCTATAGGTCATGGCCAGTGTTTAACAAACTCCCACTGGTAAGTGTCAGTAATTACCAATGTTTAACAACTCCCACTGGCAGGCGTCAGTAATTACCAATGTATTATCCCATTGGTAAGATTACAGAATGAATCGGTCATATTAGTAAACATGTCGACATGTGCTAGCGTTTGCAAACTCCCACTGGCGAGTGTCAGTAATCATGACTATATCAGAGATAAAGCCATGCAAGATTTACAGAAAAATCCGTAATTCACAATCAATCTCAAATTTGAGAAATAAATC